GGTGGGCCACCGGGCCGGCCCCGAGATTCCCTATTTCTAATAGAATTCTTTTTTTTTTTTTTCTTTTTGTCTTTTTTCGTGACTGGCAACGGATCACAACCCTCAGTGTCGCGCCCGTACCGGACCGGGACCAGCAACGGGATCGCAACCCTCGGTGTTGCTCCCGCGCCTCGCTCAGCCAGTGAGCGGGAACCGGTCTGTATGTGGGATCCGACCCCTCGGGCGGGAGCGCCGCCGCGCTTCCCAAGCGGCGCACCATCCAGTGCGCCACCGGGCCGGCCCCGAGATTCCCTATTTCTAATAGAATTCTTTTTTTTTTTTTTCTTTTTGTCTTTTTTCGTGACTGGCAACGGATCACAACCCTCAGTGTCGCGCCCGTACCGGACCGGGACCAGCAACGGGATCGCAACCCTCGGTGTTGCTCCCGCGCCTCGCTCAGCCAGTGAGCGGGAACCGGTCTGTATGTGGGATCCGAACCCTCGGGCGGGAGCGCCGCCGCGCTTCCCAAGCGGCGCACCATCCAGTGCGCCACCGGGCCGGCCCCGAGATTCCCTATTTCTAATAGAATTCTTTTTTTTTTTTTTCTTTTTGTCTTTTTTCGTGACTGGCAACGGATCACAACCCTCAGTGTCGCGCCCGTACCGGACCGGGACCAGCAACGGGATCGCAACCCTCGGTGTTGCTCCCGCACCTCGCTCAGCCAGTGAGCGGCTGGTCTGTATGTGGGATACGAACCCTCGGCAGGAGTGCCGCTCGCGCTTCCCAAGCGGCGCACTGTAGCAGTGCGCCACCGGGCCGGCCCTCTAATAGAATTCTGAGTGGCAAGGTCTACAGGACTTAACTATGATATATGCTTTAAATATATGCCAACAGAATGAGGTTTGTAGAAACCCCATTTGTCTTGTTCACTGTTGTAAACCCTAGGATCTGGCAATGTTTTATTCAGAGAAAGAATCCAGGGCCGGTCCGGTGGCGCACTGCTATAGTGCGCCGCTTGGGAAGCGCGGTGGCGCTCCTGCCCGAGGGTTCGGATCCCACATACAGACCGGTTCCCGCTCACTGGCTGAGCGAGGCGCGGGAGCAACACCGAGGGTTGCGATCCCGTTGCCGGTCCCGGTCCGGTGCGGGGGCAACACTGAGGGTTGCGATCCGTTGCCGGACACGGAAAAAGACAAAAAAAAAAGAAAGAATCCAAACATTTGTTGAATAAATTCATATAGGCCATTTGGCTTATTAGCTCTGGCCAGAGCACTAGAAGAAAAACTACAGGACTAGAAGCAGAGAGCAAGATAAGTCTCCTTCCCTAAAAACCAGACATAACTTTAGAATGCATCCTTGTGGTTCTGGTAAGGGTCAGAGTGGTGAGGGTGAAAGAACAAACTTCCTGGAAGCTGCTAATCACTGACCTGGTTTGTATTCACCACTGGAAATCCCCACTGCCCAGGCAGAGTTAGATGCTCTACTACATTTCTACTAAGGTAACTTACTTTTTGTTTTCCAAGGTCTTAAAC